GGGGGGGGGGGGATTTGTCCTCAGGCATTGTGGGCTGCAGAAAAGAGGCAGAATCTTGAACCTTCTACTTGATTAGCTAGTGGCAGCCCCCTTGACCCAACGGCTAGGGACTCCCCCGCCCCCACGGGAGCCGTCTGGGAAGGTACAGAGTGGGGAGCGAGAATCTTTAGTGACCTCCCTCCGTTGCTCTTGGTCCGGGCTCGGAGGAGGACCTCCTTCCTCAGAAGGAAGGTTGATCGAGGGGCCCTGATGGTTTTCCCCTCCTAGGAGTTGCAGCCCAGGGCAGGCGGCTTCAGTTGCGATCGAAGAGGGACCTGACTAGTCTGTTTCCCTGGTCACAAGCCTCTTGCCACCTGCAGCAAGTTCTCAGCATTTGCTGATCTGCTGGGATTTCACTCTGAGAGGGCTGTGTACAGGCACAAGTGCTTGCCTGTGTCCCTCTGCGTGGGTTGGTCTGTGTGAGGACTTGTGCCCTGGTGTCTGTCAATTCTCACAATGAACAGGAAAGCACTTTGCCCCGTGTTGGAGAATGCTGGACAAATGCTGTGTTCAGCTGAGAGAACAATGAGGTCTCCAGATATATTGTGTCTGTGTCTGGGCGTCTTTGTGTTTGTATGTCTAGGAAATGTGTTGTGAACCCCTAATCCCCTGCAGAAGTTGTCGGTTTGATGGCAGGTGCCTGGGCGTGTGTTTGTATTGTGCGCTTGTATGGGCGTGTGTGGGTGAGTGCCGTGCCGTGGGACAAAGAGTTCAAGGGAGGACAGGCGGTCACGGACAAAAATACCCTTTCTATGTATCCCTTTCACTGAGTTAAACGAAGGCTTAGAAACATAGTCAGGGCTCGATGCAAAGCCCAGGGCAGACCTGCTAGCAGCCCACTCTGTGGAGGGCTCAGCCCCAGGCTGATGGGATAGGTAGAGAAAAAAGAGCAAGGTACGAGGCGGCTAGAAAAGGAAGTCAGGGCCCTGAGAGGGAGCAAGCATTGAATCCCAAGACTTTTACTGAGCTCCAACTCGTGCCTAAGAGAGGCTCCTGGGCACAGAGGAGAAAGTTACCGCAGCCCTGGGACCTGCCCTAGATGGGTTTACGGAGGAGGCAGATGGATAGGGAAGGGAAGCTGGGGCTCACTGAGTCACCTTCTCCTCTCTTCCCCCGGCTTCCACCTGCAGGATCCGCGATGGTGCCCTTGAGGGCCCTGTGGCTGGCTTGGGCGCTGCTAGGAGTGGCCGGAGCGTGCCCAGAGCCGTGCGCCTGTGTGGACAAGTACGCGCACCAATTCGCCGACTGCGCCTACAAGGAGCTGCGCGAGGTGCCGGAAGGACTACCAGCCAACGTGACCACGCTTAGTCTGTCGGCGAACAAAATCACCGTGCTGCGGCGTGGGGCCTTCGCCGACGTCACGCAGGTCACGTCGCTGTGGCTGGCGCACAATGAGGTGCGCACCGTGGAGCTGGGCTCGCTGGCGGTGCTGAGCCAGCTCAAGAACCTCGACCTGAGCCACAACCTCATATCCAGCTTCCCATGGAGCGACCTGCGTAACCTGAGCGCTCTACAGCTACTCAAGATGAACCACAACCGCTTGGGCTCGTTGCCCCGGGACGCACTCGGTGCACTGCCCGACCTGCGCTCCCTACGCATCAACAACAACCGGCTTCGTACACTGGCTCCTGGCACCTTCGATGCGCTAAGCGCGCTGTCACATCTGCAACTCTATCACAACCCCTTCCACTGCGGTTGCAGCCTTGTGTGGCTACAGGCCTGGGCTGCGAGCACCCGGGTCTCTTTACCCGAGCCCGACTCCATCGCGTGCGCCTCTCCTCCTGCTCTGCAGGGGGTGCCGGTGCACCGCCTGCCCGCCCTGTCCTGTGCACCTCCCAGTGTGCATCTGAGTGTTGAGCCGCCGCCTGAGGCGCCGGGCAGCCCCCTGCGCTCCGGCCTAACGCTCATGCTACACTGCGTCGCCGAAGGACACCCCACGCCCCGCCTGCAATGGCAACTTCAGATCCCGGGGGGCACCGTAGTGTTAGTGCCGCCGATCCTGAGCGGGGAGGACGACGGGGACGGAGCGGAAGACGGGGAGGAGGAAGGAGATGGGGACGGGCCAACGCAGACAGAGGCTCCAACCCCGACTCCAGCACCCGCTTGGCCTGCGCCCCCAGCTACCCCGCGCTTCCTGGCCCTTACAAACGGCTCCCTGTTGGTGCCCCTCCTGAGTGCCAAGGAGGCAGGCATCTACACATGCCGTGCCCACAACGAGCTGGGTGCTAACTCCACGTCAGTTCGCGTGGCAGTGGCAGCTGCAGGGCCCCCAAAGCACGCTCCTGGAGCAGGGGGAGACCCTGATGGGCAGGCTCCGACCTCTGAGCGTAAGTCCACAGCCAAAGCCCGGGGCAACAGTGTCCTACCTTCCAAGCCCGAGGGCAAAGTCAAAAGCCAAGGCCTGGGCCGGGTTAGCGTCCTCGGGGAAACACAGGCGGGGCCGGAGGGGGACGAGGAGGCAGGTGAGGGTGAAGAGGCAGAAGACCAGGTCTCAGCTGACCCGGTGGAGCAACGCTGTGGCCACGGGGACCCCTCGCGGTACGTGTCCAACCACGCGTTCAACCAGAGCGCCGAGCTCAAGCCGCATGTCTTTGAGCTGGGCGTCATCGCGCTGGACGTGGCGGAGCGCGAGGCGCGGGTGCAGCTGACGCCACTGGCGGCAAGATGGGGCCCTGGGCCCGGCGGGGCTGCGGGAGCAGGGCGGCCCAGACGGCGGCCATTGCGTCTGCTCTATCTGTGCCCGGCGGGGGGCGGCGCAGCAGTGCAGTGGTCGCGTGTAGAGGAGGGCGTCAACGCCTACTGGTTCCGAGGCCTGCGGCCCGGCACCAACTACTCCGTGTGCCTGGCGCTGGCAGGCGAGGCCTGCCACGTGCAAGTGGTGTTCGCCACCAAGAAAGAGTTGCCCTCACTGCTGGTTATTGTGGCGGTGAGCGTGTTCCTCCTGGTGCTGGCCACCGTGCCCCTGCTGGGCGCCGCCTGCTGCCATCTGCTGGCCAAACATCCGGGCAAGCCCTACCGTCTTATCCTGAGGCCGCAGGCCCCGGATCCCATGGAGAAGCGCATCGCCGCCGATTTCGACCCGCGTGCCTCCTACCTCGAGTCCGAGAAAAGCTACCCTGCAGGCGGCGAGGCGGGCGGCGAGGAGCCAGAGGAGACCCCCGGGGCGGGCCTTGACGAAGAAGCAGAGCAGGGGGACCCAGGTGGGGGCCTGCAGAGGGAGCAGAGCCTGGCGGCCTGCTCGCTGGTGGAGTCCCAGTCCAAGGCCAACCAAGAGGAGTTCGAGGCGGGCTCCGAGTACAGTGATCGGCTGCCCCTGGGTGCCGAAGCGGTCAACATCGCCCAGGAGATTAACGGCAACTACAGGCAGACAGCGGGTTGACCCCCAGCCCGTCTGGCAGCCCATTCCCATCCCCCACCTGGGGTGCCTGGGAGCAGAAGCCTTGGGCTGGCAGGATTTATGACCCCCAACTTTCACTTACTCCACCCCCTTACCACCCCCTAACCTTGACCACTGGGGACTTCTAGTGGGGAGTGGGACGATTTTACCAGTCCCACCCACGACGGTCATTGTCCTCGTGGGCTGAATTCCCCTCCATGGCGAGCACAGTTCCCCGCTCCTCCCTCCCTGTGTAAGACACCACCCGCTGACCGTGAGGCGAAATCCAAGCCTCTCCGTTCCCACTGCAATTATCTGCGAAATCCGCCCCGAGCCCGCTCCACGGCGGGCTCGGGAGGCAGAAGGAATGGGAGCAGAAATTATGG